CTGTGGTTCTACTTATGTGATGTACCTAATGTCATCGTACCTGCAGAATCAGAAAATAGAACTGTGGGTACCAGGGGCTGGGAGGAGGAGGCAATGGAGAGTTAGTTGTTCTACTGATAGAAAGTTTCAGGTATGCAGGATGAATTAATTCTGGAGATAGGCTTACAGTTAACAGTACCATACTACACACTTAAATATTCTTAAGAGAGTTCATGTAACGTGTTTTTTAGAAAAATAACCAAAGGGACACAAGGAACCTTTTGGAGGTGATGGATATGTCTTACCTTGATTGTGATGATGATTCCACAGATGTATACATATGTCCAAACTCATCCGACCACACATGTTAAGTATGAACTGAATTTTGTATACTTCAATAAACCTATTTTAAAAGAAAAAAGAATTCTAGGGATCAGTTAAGAGTGTGGTGGGTCTGTATGTCCTGTCATGGAAATACCTTGTGTTCATTTTATTACATCAAGGACAAGAGGCAGAATAATATATACATTGTTAATGACAAATCTTAAAAATTCAATATATTTTTATAGCACATCTACATAAGAAAAAGCCTCAAGTCAGCTTTAAAATGACACACATCAGATTGTTCATTGTGATTACCTCTGAGGAGGAGGCTGAATTTTGAGGAGAGGGGAGACTGTAATTTATGTGTATTGTTAGAAGTCTTTATAAGAACATATGTACTATTACCATTGTTATTAAAATATTTAAATACATCTCACCACAAAGATGGTAGCTGTGCATTAATCAGATAAAGTGATTGATGGCTGATCCTGACAGCAAACCTGCCAAGGCTTAAAACAACAAAAGTTTGTCATACACATGGTTCTGATGTTGGTTGCCGAGGGCCCCCTCTGTCAGATAACCCAGGGGTCCAGGCAGCTCCCATCAAATGGCTCCACTTCTCAACAAGGGTCTCCGTTTGCTGCTGCATCAAACAGAGTCGTACTAGCTCCCAAATACCTCGTCCTGGAGGTGACGAACACTGTGTCTGTTCTTGTTTCAGTGTCAACACAGTGGTTGCACCACCCTTCCTAAGCAGGGAGGGAATGTAGTCTCCCCGTCAGCCCAGGAAGACCAAGATATGATGTGATAAGCCCTTGTAGCCTCTCCCATTAATTGTAACATAGTAAGTGCTCAATAAAGAGCAACTCTTAGAATTTGTTATGAAAACGACCCTCTTCTTGGAGTTTCTAAGTAGGCCAGTTTGCCTTGCAGTTCTTCTGTTTTTTCCAATCCTGCTATGTGCCAGGTGCTTTCAAAGACTGGATCACATTTTTTTTTTTTAGGCTTTATGTATTTATTTGACAGAGGCACAGCAAGTGAGAGAACACAATTACGGGGAGTGGGAGAGAGAGAAGCAGGCTTCCTGCTGAGCCAGCAGCCCAATACGGGACTTGATCCCAGGACCCTGGGATCATGACCTGAGCTGAAGGGAGATGCTTAACCGACTGAGCCACCCAGGTGCCCCCACATTTAATTTTCAAAAGGATCCTATAAAATCTCAGTAAAAAGGGCTCACCTTTTGCACTCAATGGCTCCTTTCTGTACTCACCTTTTAAACGAGTTCTAGACTCTCTATAGGATGAGAAGGGTCTCTTTATGGAAGCATGATCAAAACTTGGGAGACTGGGCAATCCTTAGCATGACTGAACACGCAGGACACTTGGACAGATGTCATTAGGCACAAAGACAAACCAGCATTTTCCTCTGGGGCGAGTACTGAGATAAGAGGCAGCAGAAGAATGGCAAATTATTTCAGTGTTTGCTGTTCTAAGATAGTATGTCTGTCAAGAAACCATTTATCCCCCACTTAGGAAAGCTCCAGGTTCTGAGGAATTCAGTCTCAGTAGATGTTTGCTGCCCAGTGATTTCCACTGTTAACCAATTACGAGGGAGGCTTTGATTGCTGACGACCAACTATGTGAGTTCAGTCCTCGGTGTATGTTCAGTGCCAGTCTCAGACTCCACACTCCTGCAAAACCCTACTGACAATATCTGTGCTGTTTGCAAGACCCCCATCTAACCTCAGTTACATGCCGAGAACCGTCTATTCTGTAAGAGTCTAAACACCTGTTTATTTGGGATACACTTCCTTATTGTTGTAGGGATTGGGGGGGTGGGCTGTGGTAATCCAGTATCTAAACTCTGCTGGCTATGGTTCCACTGAGGGTTGGGACCTCCAAGGTCCCCCTTCAGGGAGCTGAAAGGCTCTTAGGGGAGGGCAGGTGATTCAGGACTATCTGGATCGCCGGAAGCTGGGTACAGCATCCAGCAGACACAGTGGAGAGCTGGTTAGCAAACGAGGTTCCAATTTGGACCGGAGGGCACACTGGGGAACGCTCAGGAGACAAGGGCTATAATGCAGACAAGTGCCGGGACAAGAGGAGCCTCACACATAACCCCCAAATCGTGCTTTATTCTCACATTTACCTTCCTTCTTCAGGACTGCTTTTAGCACGTGGCTAAAGCGTTTGGGTTTTTAATGACCTGTGATACACCTTGGAGTAGTGAGAAGGATAGAAAATTAAGAGCCAGAAGGTTGCCTCAGGCTGGAGGAATGGAAAAGTGTGAGGCCCAGCCAAATATAACCAGGGATCGAGTCCTGGCACTGCGACTTATCAGCCATGTGAACTTGAGAAAATTACAAGTTCTTCAGCTGCAAAATATGTCTGATAAGCCCCATCCTGTGGGACTGTTGGAATAAATGTAACAGGAATGAGGCACTTGGCAGAGTAATTGGAAAATAGTAGGTCTTCAATGAATGGTAGTTATCATAGGATTGATTTTTCTTTCTTTCTTTCTTTCTTTCTTTTCTTTTCCTTTTTTTTTTTTTTAAACCTGCTGATGATACCATCCTCTTCTCTGGGGAAATTTATTTTATTAATTTTTTGAGATTTATTTTTTAATTGAGGAGATATCACAGAATATGCAACTTTTAGGACAAATAACACCAAATTAGCCCATAATGCTTCTCAGCAAGTAAAACTAAAGAAGATTTTACCCAGTTCAGAATAAGTTAACTTGGGTGTAGAAGAGTTCCCCCCACCCCCGCCCCCTAGCCAGAGGCAACTCAGATGTCCCAGAATGTATCAAAGACCAAGATCTTTGCTCCCAGGTGCCCTTTCCATCCAAACCACCCTCATTTTCACCCATTTCACGACCACCCAAAATCTAATCCTCCCTTAGAATCTGCAAAATTACACTCATGATAATCTACTTAAAATGCCTTTTTAAAAAATAATTTTATTTTTTCAGTGTTCCAAGATTCATTGTTTACGTACCACACCCAGTGCTCCATGCACTATGTGCCCTCCTTAATACCCACCACCAGGCTTTCAGTGCATTGGGACCTGGTTCCTCACCCACTTCAGCGCGGAGAGCCAACACAGTATCTTCGCGGCATCCCACCTTCAAGGAATAGCACCCTTATTAGATACTCCCTGATGATGCTGCGCCTACAATGAGATTGCGCTCCTTGTCCAACCGCTGTGAACAAGAACACAGGATGCCTTCCATTTCTGCCTGTGGAGGTTTTCCTCCGGTTTACTGATGGTACCAAAGTAACGCTAAAGAGCCGGTTTGCATTTCATGTCCTTCAACACCAAGAAACCATCTGTCTGTCTGGCCTCTGCTCACCAGTCCCATGGTCCCGTGTGGCCCACCAAGCAGCTTCAATTAACAGTCTATCCCACCCAGGGGGTCACAGTTTCCTAAGATCCCCAAACTGCCTTTCTTCAGGGAATTTATACCTTATTACTCAGCCAGACACCCTCCCTGTCCCACTTCTTCCAACCCTCTCCCTGCCTCCTTACCTCTTTACTCTTTCTAATTGGTCCTTTGGGTCTAAGAGGGTCCTTCCCCATCTTCTTCATATGATTACTGTTCCTGAAATGCACAATCTAAGGCCAGGAGTGCTTTATATCCTGGCTTCCCCATTTCTTTTTTTTTTTTTTTAAGATTTTATTTATTTATTTGACAGAGAGAGATCACAAGTAGACAGAGAGGCAGGCAGAGAGACGGGGGAAGCAGGCTCCCCGCTGAGCAGAGAGCCTGATGCGGGGCTGGATCCCAGGACCCTGAGATCATGACCTGAGCTGAAGGCAGAGGCTTTAACCCACTGGGCCACCCAGGCGCCCTGTGGCTTCCCCATTTCTAACACTGACTTTTACAGAGTAGACGCTCAGTTAGTACCTGGAAAATAAATGAGCCAGCAAGCATGAATTCTACTGTTTAAACATTTTATTTCTCCTCCATTCTTTAATAAGCCAAACAAATCCATGTATGTATCTTCTATCCTTACAGAGCAACAAACTAAAACGTATAGGGGAAACCGAGAATGGAACCTCTTTTGCTTCTTTCCCCTCCATTTTCTGATCCTGGTAATTTTACCACTCAATTTTTTTCGCATTTCCAAGGGAAAGCCTGTTACGATGCCATGTCTTATTGTTCTGTTTTGGTAAATAGGAAAGGTTTCCCAATTTGGTTTACTAACTAACAAAACTCCTAATCCTAAAGCTATTAAAAAGAAATAACCAACTAAAATTATGACTAAACTTAAATATGAAAATTATGTAAACTTTCTGTTAAAGAAACATTTGAAATATAACAAAAAGAAAAAGAAAGCAAAAGGAAGGGAGAAAGAAAAAAGAAAAGAGAAGAAAACAACTCTAAGTTTATGAGATATAATAGGAACACAAAGACAATATTCACTGTGTTTCTTCTAGATCCACCGTGGCTGTCGGTTACTTAAAATGTAGACTGCTTTTGCATTCCACAGAGAAAAGAATCTGCTTCAAACTTCAACACTGGATATAAAACCTAAAAAAAAAAAAAAAAAAAGAAAGAAAGAAAGAAAGAAAAGGGGTGAAATTCCACGTTACTGATATACAAGAGGAACACAAAGATGACACCCGCTTCTCCAGCCCGCCCGACCCTTCGCCATTCAAATGCTGACGCACCTGGTCAACCTGCCAAAGACATCACTTAGGGTGGGAGAAGCTGCTGGCCAAGGCCCTGGCACGTGCGCTGGCCATGGCAGCGGTGCGAGCCCTGGCGGCGGCTCGGGCTCGGGCTCGCTCTTCCTCATCTCTCAAAGCCTCTTCATACCACGACGGGAAGGCGCTGGGGACGGTATCATGGATCTTGGCCAGAAACTCCAGGACTCTCATCTTGCTGGTCTCAGCGTAAGCTCGCTGGCCCCACAGGAACTCGAAGCGTGGAGGATCACTGTCGGCCACCTGGCGGTACTGAAGGTACTGCAGCTGCACCAAATCTTGGGTGATGACCTTCTTGGGCTCCCCGTAGATGAAGTGCTTCCTTTCCGCGTAGACGCCCATCATATTCAGGACTTCCCAGACCTCCTCCTCAGGGGCGCAGTTGCCTTTCATGAAAATCACACCCAGCACGATCATCAGGAGGCCGGTCTTGGGCATGTTCTCGTCCTCGTGCATCGAGCCATCAGTGAGGTCTAGCTTGTTGACCAGGGTGTAGCAGTGGCGGATGGGATCCACTTCCTTCAGATCAAGCCCGAAGGCCAGCTCCATGTGCTCGGAGGCTCTCTTGAGGATCTCATTGAACTGATGCCTGTACTTTTTGATGGCAAACTTCAGCATGTCTGCCTTTGAAATTGGCTCTCTCTTTTGATACTTCTGCAGCAGGAACTGCACCAGCAAAACTACCTTCTTGTTTAGTGGGTCTCTGTGTGAGACCTCGGAGCCCTTCGATGATCTGGGGCTTCCCTCATCTTGGCTTCTGGCACCTTCATCTGAATCAGTGCCTGAAAGAGCTGCATCGGCACTAGTGGAAGATGCGGCTCCCTGAGGACGCCTAGGAGTTACAGCGGCAGATCTACCCCCAGAGAGAGCACAGGCAGAGGGGGACTCTCCTGCTGCTGCTGCGGTAGCCTGAGCCTCCTTCAGAGCCTGGATCTCGCAGCGGGCCTGGCGGCGTTTCTCACGGGCACGGAGCTTACTCTTCTGACCTCTAGGCATGGTGACACTGGTCAGAGATGGCAGGCAGGAGTTAGGTGCAAGCAGTTGGGTTGATGAAGATGTCACCCTAGAATATGGAAGAAGAGATGGTGTGTCTAGCCTCAATAAGGATATTCTACCTGGGCTCCAAGAAAAGCTGCCTCTGCTTATTCCCTTAACGGTACTGTTTTTAGGAACCCACAAAACAGGGGTGAGCAGGACTCCATGCACCTACTCTCTTCTGTGGCAGCTTGGGAACTCAGTTCAAACTCAGAGTACTAAACTTGACTCCTAATTGGTCTTCTGAAACCACCCTCTGCTGACTTGAGGCTGCCCCTTCAGCCAAAGACCTCCCAAACCACAAATGCGCAAGGCAGAAGTGAGGGCCCTTAGGCCTAACAGTCATACTTCGGCCACCAGATCAGGACACTGGGGGTGGGGTGTGCCAGAATAGGACCGGGCTCTTTGGGGAACCTCAGTTCTGAAAGGAGCATATCCCTCCAGGCCTAGCAAGTTACTCACCTTGACAACCGTCCACTCCTGGCACTCCTCCTTTGCTGGTGTGAGACCACACCTCTCCACGTCTCAAACGAACTCAGGCTCCACTGCGCATGTAGCGGAAGTCAGGGTGAGCACTTCCGGCCACGCCCATCTGGGCTTCCCAGCATAAAATCTCGCGTGGGTTTCTGGGGGAGTCCCCTCAGTATTGGTGGTGGAAGAATTAGGCAGAAGTCAAACAGGGGTCCTTTCTGACTCCTGACTTGCAAGGTCTGGGACTTCTTCCTCCGGTGAAGTTAGCTCACATCAGACCAAGGCTTTCAATTCCCTCAGAACCCCCAGTAGGGAGTAAGATGGGAGTAGAGCTGAGCAGCCATGACTGGGACCTTCCAAGACTGACAGCGGGGGGGGGGGGGGGGGGGGGGGGGGGGGGGGGGGGGGGGGGGGGAGGATCTCTCTGTTGCCCCTTCTTTTTGGGTGGATTCTCCCCCCTCAGTCCTCACTCAGTGTCATACCTTGACACCTTGTTGGTGCTGGGCTGTGTCTCTTCTGCTGACCCAGAGTCAAATCCATCAGGTAAGGCAGAAATCTGTAAATAATTTAAGTAGAATTGACATCTGTACAATATTCTGCACACTGTAAATGAGTGTGGTGTATTGCTCTATTTGAGTTTTTTTTACCTAAGTCTATTAGTAACTTTTTAAAAATATTTGCTTCCATAAAGATCATGTACATATTTCTTAGTTCTTTTTTTAGGTATATTTTGGATATTGCTATGTTCTCCATGACGTATTCTACCATTTATTTTGTGTGGCTAGACTTCTGATTTTGCTGTAGTGGGCTACATCAGTTTCCTGAAGTGCCTTATACATTTGAATATTTGACAATTTCTTTGGAGTTGTTAATTATGGGATCTTATTATCTCTTTTCATAATCCATATATTTTATTTTGGTATTCTTATGTATGGGTATATGCTGGCTCTGTCAACCAGTACAGCTTAGAATAGTAGAAATGATACCACACCTCCATGTCCTGTTCTGACTTTAGTGGGAATGTTTTAACATTTCATACTTATGTATGTGTGCTGTTGATTTTAGAATATGGATATTCTATTCTAATATGTTTGCTAACAGTTACTAGCATGAACTGGTATTGAATTTTTATCAAAGGTGTTTTTTTTTCTCTACTTTCAGAACATGATAAAATGCTTTCTCTTCTCTGTTAACATAGTGAATTCCAATTCACAGATTTTTCTCATATCATATGATCTTTGTATTCCTTGGACACAGCCTCTTTCTTCACTTAATTCACTGCTGTACTGCATAGGCTATGAATTTATTTAGAATATGTATATGGGTGAGCTTGACGCAAATATTTTTTTCTTGGGGCATACTCATCTGGTCTTTGTATCAAGGAGAGTTAGCCAGTTAAAGTGGTTGAGTGATTTCCCATCTTCTTGAATGGCTTTTAAGAGCTTACTTAATGTGCTGATTAGCTTTTTCTTCATCATTTGGTGTAATAACCTTTCAACCTGGCTGATCCCGCTACATTTTGAGGGCAAAATTTGCCCTGAAAATATATCAGGACTACAGTTTTGGGTTCTTTTGTTCAATGAAAGATTTGTACTTCTTCATGGACCTATTTAGTGATTTTTATTTTGCTAAAAATGCTTCCATTTTACTTGGGTTTCCAAATTTACAGACATATTTGTAATAAAATCATTTTATTATAGAAAATTCTCAATCATGTTCATTACAAAGGATAAAATAACTCAATATACCTGATGCTCAGTATCACTTATCTTCAATAGTTATAGGAAGCTTGTTCAGATTAAGGTTTATTATTTGTCTCTTTGCTGGCAAAATCACCCCCAAAGTGTCATTAAGTTAAGTCCATTAGGAGACACATAACATCTGCTGTTTCCTTTGTGGTAATGTTGGCAGTCATTAAGGATCATCAGTGTCATCCATTAATCCATTAGGGGCTGCTGAATTATAATTCTGGAGTTCTGTCATTTCTTCTGAGATTATTAGCTGAAATATGTCTATAGGTAGAATCTTCTGTTATCTTCCATTCTGTTTTCTTGAGGTAAGTCTTAGAGTTGCCCTATTTTACTACCTAGAGAGCTAGATATATAGATAGGTAAAGAAAGCTAGATTTTTTGGTCTAATCAGTATCAGTAAACTCTTTAGCTCAGAATTGTATTTTTTGTAATTTTAAATAACGAGAAATATTGCTTGAGTACTAAATCAGTTAGTAACTGGATGAATAATTCATCCATTAATAATAATTATTAATGGGCAACAGTGAAATAATACATGTTCAGGCCCTAATCTTTGTCACATTACAGATTATTTGTGCCTACAGACAGTTTTAATTTCAGGAAATAGAGAATTTTACTATAATTTACTCAAAGCTAGTTTTCTTTGAAGGTATATACTTTCTGTGTTCTTTCTACATAGCTAAGCAGTCAGCATGCCAGTTGAGTTTTATTTTTTTTCTTTATAAATTCTAATGTAGACATGGCAACTTGTTTGAATGTTATTACTCTCTTAGGTTGCATGCATGTACATAAAAGATAAAATTGTACACTCCCTCCTCTGGGTTCACAAATTTATTCAATATAGGGCTATCCTAATAGAATCAGGGCTCGATTCATTACCGTAGCCAATGCAAAAACATCTGACTTGTTCGAATAAATATGTTAATATGTACTCTCAATTTATTAAAAAAGATTTTCCAACTTCTCATTTTACTTGTTAGTAAATTAAATACTTAGATTATTGAATGAATATTTACTTCTTGAGTAGGTCACTTTTAGACATATTTCCAGGTAAATAAGCCTGGCAATACAAAATAGCTGTCGAGCAAAGACACTGAAACCATGGAAAAGGAGTCAGGTTATAAAACCCGGTTTGTCACCATTCTGTTAGAATGGGTAAGTTAGAACTGTATTCCCCTGTGCCTTCACCCATCCTGCTCCTCTGTGAATGATGTTATAACACGTTCTCAAGCAGAAGGGACCTAGATTGATTTGGCCCCTGACAATGATTTTAGCCTTTCAGTGGCTCAAGACCTTGTTCATCTTTATGTTCTGCTCTAGGCCAACTCAGACAAACTGTCCACTCTTAAACCTGCTGCTTCCAATACCATGTCAGCCATTTCAATGCCATTGAAGGACTGCCAGTGAAGGACTGAACTTCTGAAGGCTTCCTCATTCCCATGTCTCATTCTCTTAGACATTAACTCCAGCCCAGGGAACAATGTTTAGGAGAGACAGGCTCCATCTGTTACTAATTCAGAGGAAATGGATGCTCTGTCTTTGATGAGCACAATACCTGTGACACCATGCTTAGATTAACATAGCCAGGGGCCAATTTGGCAGATAAAGAGAACTCTATTTGGGTTTTTTAATTTGTTTTTAATTTGCATTTTAGTTGGTTAACACACAGTGCTATATTGGTTTCTGGAGTAGAATTCAGTGATTCATCACTTATATACAACATCCAGCACTCATCACAACAGGTGCCCTCTTTAATCCCCATCACCCATCTAGCCCATCCCCACACCGGCCTCCCTCCATCAACCCTTAGTTTGTTCTCTGTCATTAAGGGTCTCTTACACTTTGTTTTGCTCTCTCTCTTTTTTAATCTTCCCCCTTCCTATATGTTCATCTGTTTTCTTTCTTAAATACCACACATGAGAGGCGCCTGGGTGGCTCAGTGGGTTAAGCCGCTGCCTTCGGCTCAGGTCATGATCTCAGGGTCCTGGGATTGAGTCCCGCATCGGGCTCTCTGCTCAGCAGGGAGCCTGCTTTCCCCTCTCTCTCTCTCTCTCTCTGCCTGCCTCTCTGTCTACTTGTGATCTCTCTCTGTCAAATAAATAAAATCTTTAAAAAAAAAAAAAAGAAATACCACACATGAGTGACATCGTATGGTATTAGTCTTTCTCTGACTGACTTATTTCACTTAGCATAATACACTCTAGCTTTATTGCAAATGGCAAGATTTCATTCTTTTTGGTGGCTGAATAATATTCTACATCTACTTTATCCATTCATTAGTCGATGGATATTGGGCTCTCTCCACAGTTTGGCAATTGTTTAGAATGCTGCAGTAAACATCAGGGTACATGTACCCCTTCAAATCTGTATTTTTGTATCCTTTGGGTAAATACCTAGCAGTGCAATTGCTGGATCATAGGGTAGCTCTATTTTTAACTCTTTGAGGAAACTCCATACTGTTTTCCAGAGTGGCTACACCAGTTTGCCTTCCTACCAACAGTGCAAGAGGGTTCCCATTTCTCCTCATCCTTGCCAACATCTGTTGTTTCTTGTGTTGTTGATTTTAGCCGTTCTGACAGATGTGAGGTGGTATCCCATCATAGTTTTGATTTGTATTTCCCTGATGATGAGTGATGTTGAACATCTTTTCACGTATCTGTTAGCCATTTGGAGGCCTTCTTTGGAAAAGGATCTTCTATCCATGTCTTAACTGGATTATTTGTTTTTTGAGTGTTGAGT